ACCCTCTCCACCTCCACTTGAACCCTGAATGCACCATGTGAAAAATAGTAAATAAGAAATCCAAATTTTCACTAGTCACACCATACAAGGGGGCCAAGAAAAAATAACAAAGAGTAGGTCTTGGCAAATTTAGCATGGAATAAAATCGATGATGTTCTGAAAACAAAGATTTAAGAACTACCATCCTATCAAAGTACGTCAAACAGTGACTTTTATGAACTAGTTCATTAGTATGCAGAACAAACAACAGGATGCATCAAGCGCACAGAATATAAGAATTGTAAAATGGTTGAAAGAGGATAAATGGTTATAAAGCCTAGGGAAGGAAAACAGAAACCTCTTATTACGTTTGTCTCTTTCATGCATCATCCTCGATACATCATGAACTAGCTAAATGATTGATAAAATGAATTCGGATTTATGACTTTTTTAGGAAATAAACAAAGATAACGACCAAAAAAAGAAAAGGATTTGTATTTACCTAGCTCAAACTAATTACTAGAGAATTCTTTTAAAGAGGCAATATTGAACTAAATTTTGAACTTCTCGGTGACAATAACGAGTGAATTATTCACAAATCGACGTGTAGTTTGATGAAAACACTAGAACTAATAGGGAACTGTCAATTTCCAATAACAAGGGAGTACATCACGAGAGAAGCAGATGCATTCGCACAGGTCTCACTTAAACATAGCTTACAAAACTAAATGAAGTAATCAGCAGACATTGGGAAACATAAGATATGCGTACTTTTGGAGGCTCTAACAACTGCGTCCTCAACTTTGCTATCTTTGCCTTCAGCTGACCAAGATGATATTCTGCATTTTGAGAAATACAAAAGACACCGTTTTGAGAACGAACCAGAAAAAGGACGTGCAAATTCTGGTATATGCACAACGTAAAAGGAAGAGACTGATGATAAAAGATTAATGGATGAAGCCCAGTACCCGTGGCCTTATTTTTCTGAGTCCGAGCCATCTCGGCCTCGATTTCTTTAATTCTTTCAATAATTCCCATTTTGCTACGTCTTCAACTGCAAAATCACAATCGAAGCATTACAAAACAATAGGAGTTGATTACTTCCGATCAATGTCTATTTTGTACATCGATAAATTTCCAAAAGAATAAACGAAAGCAACAGAAAATCGATCAGAATCATGAATTCAAGTTTTAAGTTCAATTGTATGCTTCAACGAACCGTGAGCTGCAGTTATGAATGAATAATACAGAAAGCTACAAAACATCCGAAGAAACAAAGAAGATGACGGAAGCAAGAACGTAGAATATGACTCACTGTGATCGAGTAGCGGAGGATCTGTGGGGCTTGAATCACGGAGGAGGGAAGGAGGAGGGATGGTGGAGGGAAAGAGAGGCCAGAAAGAGTAGGTCTCTCGAGAATTAGATTGAACAGCATTGGGCTTTTTCAGAGGCCCACTCATTCAAAAGGTCCACCTGCTCTGTAAGGGTAAGAAAAATAAGAATATATATTTATATCACTACCCCAAATCAGAGGTTGGATATGAATATTAATCGTTATCTTTAATATCTTCTATAAATACGAATATTAACTCTAATATAAGTATAAATAATAATCAACTCTAAAAGTAAAAATACCTTAAATATTTTTTAAATTTTCTTGAATTACTGAAATAGTGGTGTTAATATTGATATTTTATATGTTGAGTAAAACTTCATAATCATAAAACTCAACCATCAATGAAAATTCTATCCACGTAGATTTTTTTTTTCTTTCATAGGTCTCTCAATCAGCCATTAGAATGTCAGTATAAATGATCGATTGACAGTAAACTATACTGTTTCAACAGGCTGAAGAAAAAAATCTACATATTTACAGATGGCCAAAACTAATAGGCTTGAAAGACACGATTCAACTAACACCACGCCTGTGTTATTCATTTAAAAGTGTCTACAAAAATTTTAACTCCAGATTCAAACCAATAGTAAGCAACAAAAACAGTAACAAGAGGTAAGCTCAGATCCCATAAATTAAACTCTAGGAATTAATATATGACTAATCTCTTCATTCCTCCTATACTGCAAGTGAGTATGGAAACTCTCAGCATTATACTTCTGGAATCTCTATTTCAGCGGCTGGTGGTAGAGGAACAGCAGATGATGGCCTGATGTGGTCCTCCTCCTCCTTGGGTGTGTGGATAGTAACCAAATCAGGCAAAGGAGTGGTGGGTCCTTGCTTACCCTTAGGATCCCAATCAAGCATGATCTTAACTTTAATCCCAAGAACACCCTAGACGATGAATAATCACAATCAATTGGTATTCAATTGACAATATGGAAGATGGTGAAGACATTCTTTCGATTAAGGGTGAAAGCTAACCTGTCTTAAGAGGACGTGTCTCACGGCAGAGTCAATATAATCTTTGCATGGTTGACCGGAGGATATCATATATCCGTCCTTGAACTTCATCGACTTTGCACGCTGTGCCCTGAGCTTACCACTAACAATGACCTGCATATAGAAATGAAACAATTAAGCGACATGAAAGAGGTGCTTCTTCTGTGGCTTACCAGAAAAGTTGTGGAAGAAAATAACAGTTGGAACAACACAGACCTCATATCCTTTCGCCCCGCTCTCCATAACAAATCTAAGAACACCATAGCAAGCTCTGTAAAAATGAGGAAGAAAGATCAGCCCACCAATAATAAAATATATAAATCAAGAAACTACGGAATACAGGAACATCAAAAATTCCCATGAGTTCAGTATATATGTTCTTGTTAAAAATTGAGCACGATCAGTATAAATTCACTTCCATAATTTCTTAGAACAAATAAAAACAACACCAAAAACCATAAATATGAAGAAGAATATGTGATCAAGAACATTTATCAAGGTCAAGTTGTCACTCTCGAGCCAAGGGACAACTATTTGATCTACAAATCAGAATCCAGAAACTCCTTGAAACTATGACTTAAAAGCATTTAGATAGAAAGTTTGTAGACCTCAAACTCACCTCAAACTCATTTAAGTTTGCAGCTTGCACCTTTACCCAATGGGCCAACCAAGGATGACTATGAACAAATAAACCACCTAATAACAACGCACTCCCTAAAGTATATGAAAAAAGAAAAAGAAGGGCAGGCAAGGCAAGGTGTATAAATGTGTCTACCTTAACATGTGCATATCAATACATACAGCTAATCCTCTTAGGCACAGAGTATCATTTGCTCACCTCCATGCAAATTATAAATAAAAAAATAAAAAATAAAAAAATTGTGGAGCTTCCGAACCCCCAGAACTATGCAAGAACAACAGTTCTAGGAAACTATAAACTCCATCACTACATATAAGCATTTTGAAGAGATCTCTTAACCCATACATATTGGAAAAGGGATGTATGCAATGCTCAAAATATAAAAAAGATCATGCATACCACAAGACAAGTCACAATTTTAAATGTCTAGACAGTTTCTAAGGAACACCTTGACCATACCCCATCCAAAGATTATTACATACATGGAGATTATCGTTGCAGAATACAGATTATGGACGACACTAGGAAGACATTCTCTCTGAATATAGAATTCAAAGTACGAATAAATATCTAGAGGAACATGAAAAATTGTATCTATCTTTGAAACGAATTAGTTTCAAAATAGAAAATAAGATAGACCTCCTGACAGCAAGCCCTCCTAGAAGCTTGTAGCGCAGAGATTCAGCCTGAGCAATAGCACAAAGACCTCTGTTGTTGACTTTCTCAGCATACAGCTCAACACTGTTCTCGGGGAATTTAAACCGCTTTTGAACAACAGATTTAATTCTCTGATTCTTCTTCCCTTCTCACCTGCGGACATCAATTTGAACATTCTTTCAAAAAAAAAAAAACTAAAAAAAGCATCATTCTAAAGAGGATGATTCATATCCAAATTATAAATTTTCCGCCAAGAGCTTTGAAAAAACAGAAACAAAAATATGACCTAGAACATTTTGTGTCCGAGTTGCCCTGATTATAATCTCAGTACGCATCGGCGTAACCCTAACCTCGACGCCGGAGTAGCCGTCCTCAGCGAGCTCTCTGGTCAGCACTTCGTTGAGCTCAGCGAAGAAAACTCCATCGGCGACAAACTAAATCCAATTAAGAACAACAATGATCGTTAGATGAACCGAAAAAAGGCATCCGACTCTTAATAGCTCATGAATCAAACGAAGTAACCTTTCGTTTCTTGCTCATTTGGGAAGCCATGAATGAATGTCGTCGAACACTATAGCTTATCTCTTTGATGAGCTCTCAAAGTGAATTTGGGCTTCGGGAGGAGAACAGTGGAAGGCGATCGAAAACTTACTGATACCAAAAGGCGACCTGTTCGATATCTCGACCTTTTAATCTCTTTGATTTAATTTAATTTAATTTTTTTTTTTTTTTGCATGTTTATTAGGTTGCATGCATAATTGAAAAGTTCCATTTTTAACCTCAATTCTCACAAGTTCGTATATATTATTTTTAAATCAATTTTGAAATTAGAGAATATTTTTAAAAATCTAAGAGAATAATTAAAATTTCTTATTTTTACTAACGAAAAAAAATTAAAAAATTGATGTGCGTCTAATAATTAAAAGATGGATATAATTATTTCAATTATGGCGTCAATTAATATCCTTCTTTTTAATTGACGCGTTGGATGAAAATTTTGAACCAATCACAAATTGTCACGCTAATATTTAAAATTAATGAAAAAAGTACGAAGTAATTTGCGACCAATTTTCTATATTTTTAAAGACATAAAACCAGAAACAAAATCGAAAAATAAATGGAGAAATTTTTTTGAGTTTGCAATGGACCGAACAATTGAAGCCCAATGCAAAGCCCAAACAAGATCTTCCGATCCAAGTCGGAGATTGTACCCCAGACGGAGGGGTGGCAGTTCCATTCCAGCCGTCCACGACGGGGCAAAATGATGGCTTCAACGGAATCTTCTATTTCTACTCGGAAAGATGAGCTTCTTGACGATGTATGAACAAACTCATCTTCAAATTGAGCTTATTATGCTATATTTTGATGCATTCAACAGTTGAGCTTTATTCAATCTTTAGACTTAGTTGATCTGATAATAGAAGAACTGTTTCATAGTTTCTGTTTAATTTTGATGTGGTTTTCGATCAAGATTTATTGATGTCAATTCATCGAGACATCTCGGTATTCATCTGAGTTATGAAATAGTCTCTTTTTTGTCTGCCAATTCGCTTGAAACTAACGACAATTCACTATCCTAATTGTTTCTATTCTTTGAAGTTTGTGTTTGTCAACTGTGCACTCTCAACAGGTCCAGATGCGACACTTATTGATTTATATAATGTGAGTTGATATTGACTCATTTCTTCCATTGATGTTTGAGTTGCGTTTGTATTCTGTTTTCTTTAATTTTTGGGAGAAGAAAAGGAGGTGGTGGGGAATTGCTTTTCAGAAGAATTGGCTGGAAATGGAAAATATCTTACAAAAACTCGATAAAAATTGACATCTTAATTGATTGGGTATCTTCATTGAAAGTGCAGAGTATAGACCTCTGATGTTGATGTTGGTCATGAATCATTTATGAAAACACCGATCATCGTATATTCTTTGGGGTGAAAGAAAAAGGCTCGAAAAACCTAGATTTGGAAACTTTCTGAAGCATGATCATGTGCAAATGTAGCATCAGATGAGTACCCCTCAATGTTTTATACATTCGTTTTTGTATAGCCTTTCTCTGAGGGGCCGTGTATGGATAAAATTGTTCCGAGTCCATAGCAGCTTTTAAACCTGTTAATGTACCTAAGAATAAATATATGGTTTTTCATATTCACATGAGTTTTAAGGTTTTTTCAAGTCCTAGTGGCTAGGTATCTTATTGATTTATCATTTTTCCTGTGCCTATTTGCAGAACTTTGGAATTGATGGGAAGTTGGTGGTATATTTTACCTGCTCCATTGCTTGGGGCTAATGTGCAGTCTGGTAATGTCTCACTGCTATGGCTTTAAACTTGTCCATTTATTTTTTTTACAAACTACACATTTTAGGCTCTTACCCAGATGGAAAAAAACATATCAAGATGAGTTATAGAGTCATACCTGTCACGGTCCATAGTCTATAATTATTTATTGATTTATTTGATAGACCTATTTAATTAGTTGTTTTAACGTAGAATATGAAAGCCAAAGGATATTTTCTTCCGAATAGTGATACGAAAGCTCAAATTCTCGATTACCCTACTCAGTTCCATATTTTTCTTATCATAGCAGCTATTGACCATCACAAGTGCTCATTCCTATCTGAGTGCCATATTTTGTCTGATGAAATAGATCAGTTCAAGATCAAATTACTTTGTGTTTAGCCTTTGCACGTCGTCTGGTGCCTAGTGACATACTTTGTGTTTAGTCTTTGCATAAAATAGATTAGTTCAAGACAACATGCTTGGGTATACAAATTCTCTTGTTGTTAAGTTTCTCTCCATGGTAAGTTAGCTGGGAACATAGAATTATAATAGTAAGCTGTATTGGGGGCCAATTTCATGGAATAGGCAGGAGACAAACAAATGAGTTTGGCGACCGTCTGGGTGTTATGTAGATAATAGTAGATTAGTACTTTAGCTTTTCTGTAAACTTGTGCACATCTGATTTTGTTTGGGTAAAATCCAAGAATGACCAGATATACTCTGACCATATCAGGCCGAGTGTTATGTGGTGGAGGAATGCTGGTCTGCACTGTTTGTCTGATTCTGACCATCTGAAAATTTGGTCTAAACTCGTGAAAAAAAGTGAACTATTTTTTGTCTTTCAGAATGATTCTTTTCATATCCCCACCACAGCTTTGGATTATGAGGCAATATCTAGAAAACTTAAACCATACCCTCTTATTGAGTGCACTAGAAAACTCCATAATCTCTCTCTAAACTTGAGGGATTACTATATGTAGCACAAAATCTCTCTCTCCCTCTAAATTTAGGAGATTTCCATATTCACGCTAGCTGTTTCTTGCTGGTCGAACTTTCTTGTCTTTCATTATATTGGGAGAAGTTTAAAGAGTTACAATCTTTGGAGTTTGGAATATGATATTTTCATAGTTGATCGCAGGTAGAGTAGATAGAGCAAGATCAAGTTAGTTGGAACCAGTTCATCCGCAACCAAATACTTGGAGAAGGCTATGAATGAAACAATAAAATTTTAGATAAATCACTAATGATTTGAATGAGAGTGCAGTGCACTAACAACCTAAGCTTATAGTTACTGCTTATGATATCCAATTAGAGGAATTTACTCATCCACTCCAAATCAGGCCCCTCATTGGAAAAATCAAACAAGTTATCGACATCAAACTCCAAGTTCGAGCTGCTTTCAAATTCTTGAGATGTTTCCTCTTCCCTCAACTCTGTGTCTACCTTCCTTTTACACCCTTTTCTTTTGAGAATGTCACTTTCTTTTTCACTATGTTGGTTCATTTTCTTGCTCAAATGAGAATTCCAATAATTCTTTATCTCGTTATCCGTTCTTCCGGGCAGTCTCCCAGCAATCAAAGACCACCTGAAAAAAACCAATCAGGCACTCCCCCCAACCCAGAAAATCAAAACTCCTTTTCAGATTATGAAACAGAAGATAACTGAAACGAGAAAATTGCAGAGCGAATTAGGTAAGAATGTGACCTGTTGCCGAGAAGTTTATGGAGTCTGAGAATCAAATCTTCCTCTTGATCTGATATATTGCCTCTCTTAATGTTAGGTCTGAGATAATTCAGCCATCTTAATCTGCAACTTTTCCCACACCGATTGAGACCTGCAAGATTTCAGAAACCCATTGAGCCAAATTTGCTTTGCAGCTGAAGTTGGAAAACAGAAGTTGAAAAAGGAGTGAAGCAGCACCTGCTTTGGCTGCAATCGTCTTCCACCTTTTCGCTCCATGAATGGCAATAACTTCAGCCAGTTTTTGATCTTCTTCTGCAGTCCAAGCGCCTTTATTGACTCCATTTCTCACATTTTCAGCCTCATTTATGTCTCCTTCAACTTGTTTCACTTTTCTTTTCACAGAGTCTTCTTCAGTCATTGGAACTTTAGGGGG